TCCCCTTAGAAACAATGCTTTAAAAACCTCTCTAACTTGAAGATTCTCCTCCTTAAACCTCCATAACTAAAATATTCTGGAGGTATTTTCTATTTTAAGTAAGTGAGAGACCAATTGGAAAAATTAATCAATGCCTCAAAGTTAGGCATCATGTCAACTCATTCAAGAAGCAATTTGAGGCCCAGGAATCACCAAATACAATTTCCTGTAATTCTTTCTTTTCCCCAACTCTATATCTCTCTATATCGATTTTTTATGGTACCTTGAAGTTCGACTTTCAGAGGTTCGATTACAATTTTAGCACAAAAAGCAAAGATCTAAAACGCACCAGAATCTTGCCCGAACAATGGTGCCCCATTTTTGCACGTATATGCGACGTGTTGTTCGCACGCTACTGATCTATCAATCAGCAAATCCATCTCGTCCAGCCCTGCATCATATTCCACCGGATAATGAATTCGTTCGGGTCCAGATTCTTCGCTAAAACGAATTGCTCCACGGGTTTTCCTTTCCACCGTTGTGTAAACCTCGTCTTCATCTGTAACAGAGCCATATGAATCTTCATGTTTTCCTCAACGGGAATTCGGGGGAGAAAAATTTAAATTAATCGGGATACTAACTCAAGGTACAGGTAACCGGAAACGGGGTCAAAGGTCCACTGCCATCCACGTCAATCTCTATCGACTTCTTCATTTCGCCGGGATTCGCCTGGAAATGAGCAGCACACTTTCAACGGAAACTGATTATTCCCATCGACCACGATGCTCTTCATGCAACCAATGAAGCCCTTGGAACCTTTCATACCACCTGCCAGGAATAGAAAAAAACACGGTCATTTCTGCAAACCGAAGGAATAAAATCGAAGTGAAATGTTCAAATTGGATTGATGAAGTAAAGCTGTAAAAAGTGCTTCAGCATCATTGCCACAAATTTCCTTACAAATACCTTGTGAGTAAAAATAAGCAAGACTGTGGTGCTGGTGTTCTCAACATGAATGTTGAATACAGTACTGTATACCGTAGATTACAATGTGCAGTAATTTACTGTACTGTAAAAGATTAAATCCCGGTACATCAGTTCCCAAATGCTCTCCTTTCAAAGGGTTGAACAGGAGAATCACTTCCTGAACAATCCCGTTTACACAAATTTTCTGCAAAACACAATTGATCTTTTAATTTCAGGAGACCTCCTACAGCAAAATCTTTTTACAGCAGCATGAACTCCTAGGAACCAATAAAAAATTACATACAACAGAAAATGCTTTTTATTGAGATTTTTATGGTTTTCAACGCATTATACACAGGAATTTTGTGGGAAATGGGTAAGGAACGCCCATTCTGAAAATACCCAATGGAAAATCATTTCCAACAATCTGTTTCATTTCAAAGAAAGGCGCACATTCTGAAATAGATACGGAACTAAGAGGCAAGAAACATGTCATGCGTAACGTATTTTTTCAACGCGAAATTTTCTCTGCAGGAAGTTTCCTTCCTTTGTAGTTGGAAAGTTGCATCAGTTCCATTTTTCCTATTTTTCTGCCATTTAGCAAATAACCCTTGTGGCCTATGCACAGAATCAGGATACGGACATTAAAGTCTAAAATTAGTTTGTTGAAATCAGATTTTTGTAATTGCACATATGGTTAAATTGCTGGGACCAAGAAAACAAATCTTGATGAAGAAAAATGTGTTATAAAAATGTTTGCGAGATTCGCCATAATGGAATTCTACTATATTAATACATGAGCAGTACGATTAAGACGATACCCTATTACAGGGTCTTAATTTTGGAAAATTCTAGAGCATTTCAAAAGTTTCCTTACATTCTAAAAAGTTGTTTTCGGATTTGATCTCTCGTGAAAATGAAAAAAAAATGGGACGAAACTCACCGGCAAAATAATAATAGGCTCCAGTTTTGATGTCCATTTCGCGAACCGTTTCCACAGGCCGGAAATCCAGATCACTGACCATCTTATTCTTCCTGATTTGAAGCTCGACGTGATGCCACTTGCCGTCATTCACAGGCAACAAAAAGTTGTTCGCTGTGATTATACCAGGACTTCCCTTGGTAACGATATCCACCACGTAATAGCCTTCTTGCAAATATAACTAGAAACGAAAAAGTAGGGAACAAATTGCTTCGCCACCCGAAGGATTCCACTGCGGTGTCGAATTTACCTTTACATATCCGTCACTGTAAAACTTGTGATACACGAGTGTTCCTTCCATTTCAAACGTTCTGAACTCGAAAGAAATACTGAGTTTGCTTCGCCACCAAAGGATTCCACTGAGTTGTCGAATTTACCTTTACATATCCGTCACTGTAAAACTTGTGATACACGAGTGTTCCTTCCATTTCAAACGTTCTGAACTCGAAAGAAATACTGAGACTTTCCAAGGCTTCGTAGCCCTTCAGCTTGACATGGGATTCACTCGTCAAAAAAGTCACAGGAACGATTTGTTGTTCCTAAAAATCAGTTATACAAAAAGACAATCAAACCGATTTCATTGAAAAAATTTCCAAGAATGAACATACGTTGCACAGTTGCCGTCGAATGTCACTCATGAATTTGTCATGTCTCACAAACGCAGGCTCGGTATCGTATCCGATGCTGTTCGAATTGACAGACGCTTGCGCGGATTCCCGGACAATCAACCACTGCAAAAATCGTAAGCATTTAAAAATTAGAAAAAAAAACACTCAACCGAGAAGTAAAAACTCACAGCTTGATCAGGTCGCCAAGGATTTTCAGTGAAAAAATTATGTCTGTTGATGTACAAGCTTTCTAAGCAACCCTTGAAATGCCGGATTGTGTCCAATCCACGCTTCTTGCTCGGAACACCGGCAACGTACCACTGAATATAACAATGGTCATTATGAAGAGTAATTTTATTTTTGATTTTTTCTCACTCACCGCAAAGTCGATGTTCAGGCGCTGGAAATTGCCCTGGATGCTTTTCGAAACCACGACACGATCGACGCTCAAAGTCACGGACCGTTTATCTCTGGATATGAAGACGTCATGCCAAATGCCGTCGTCCAACAGGCTTCCGACGGATAATGAGGTCAACTCTCTTCCACCTATACGATGAATCGGGGTGCGAGTCAGAAGCGTGAGTTTCAAGAAGAGCAGGTATGAAAATCAGCAGGTTTTGAGAGATTAAAAACAAGTATCGAAACGGCACAAACCGACAGTTCGAATTTTAGTGAGTATTACGTAAACCTATTCTTGGGTGCACATTCATAAGACAGACTCAAAAATTCGGCAAACAAGCTTAATTTTTTTCATAGTAGAAGCCCTCAACTGAACCTTCCTCTCACACATATCCCCAATTTGGTTCAAGGACAGTTTGAAAAGGAACTATTCAAGACATAAACATTTTAAAATGGAGAATGTTTGAGACATTCCACCACATTTGGAGACAGTCACGTGAGCTACATGAGTTCATGTTTCATGCTGTTCGCTTTCATGATGATCGAACTTTGTGTGAAAACTGCGATAATCATGCAATGACGCAATATCCAACGCACATAAAAGATTTCTTGTCAGGTTTTTGAAATTACCATGTTCTTGCTTTCATTCCTCTTTTGGTCTGTTTCGGAACATTATATCTAACATGTGAGGAAGAAAAATGATGAGTTATACAGGTTCTGAAAAAAAGGGGAGAGAAGAGAATGAAGGTGAAGATTTACGCGAAGGTTAGGTCTTGTTCATGCTATCTCCAACTGTCCCTTTCTCTAATTGTACATGTCTCGCAATGATCCTTTTTTGGATTGGCCCTCGTCTAAAACTGAACCTGTCTCAAATTGTCCATGTCCCCACGAATTAAAAGCCACAAAATGTGCAAGAGAATTAAATGATGGCACTAAATCAAGGTTCGACTCTACAAATACTGTACAACGGTGAAAAAAGTGCCAACCTAGTCCGACATTCAAGAACAGCCGGTTGTCAACCAATTGTACAGCCAAGACGTCGTTTTGCTTTCCCCAGCCGTAGAGAATCACACCGTCCGCCTCATTGGTTTTGAAACGAAATCTGATTTCATCCCTCAGTAAAGGGTGGTCGTACGACAGGAATTCTATAGGTCGATCATAACGTTCCCGATCTTCTCCCACACGACGCTCAAAATAGGTCACACCGTCTAACCCAACAGCTTTCGGATCCGGATCTGAAAACACAAAGCCAACCAATGAAATGCACTAAAAATACGGGCATACGATAAAAAAATAAGAAAATCGCTTCCGAAGGCTATTGAAAGAAAATGTGATCACACGGAATTCATTTATGCACGATATGCGTCGAACTCCCAGCAAATTATTGCATCGACAATTTTTTCCTCACTTCATTACTGTACGTTTCCAATCACGGCATACTTGCCAGCATATTTTCGAACTTGGAAGCATTCAAGTGTGAATCCGTCACGTTTAGTTCGGTTATACGGTAGTATTTACTCACAATAAAAAATAATCAACTTTAGTTTAAAAAAAAAAAAGGTTTTTCTTGAGAAAAATACAGTACACCACTTCCAGCGGATTCTTTTCTCTTGTCAGGAAGGTCAGATGCACAAAAAAGGAACTTGAATGTCTTCGAGGAGTTCCTTGCGGAATTGAGACTAGCAATTTACAATGGCGCACATGTTGCTGTGAAAAACAAAACCACCGTTTTTCAACAATTAATTACCTGGATACACATGCTCAAAAACAATTAACGAGAAAAGAGCTAAAAATGCTTTCGACATGGAACACAGTTGAATCTCTTCAGGTCGGAATTCGAGGGACCAGGAACAAAATTATGAGTTATGGACGTTATTAGTTATTAGAGAAAGAAGCATGAAAGCATTTGCGTTTGGGGGAAAGAAGGAATAATCACAGGAAATTTTAATTGGTGATTTTCTAGGCCTGAACTTGCTTCTTAAATGAGTCCAAAGGATGCTACACTTTGAGGCAAGGGTTCATTTCCCCAATTCGTCTTTCGTTTTCTTTTAAAACGCAGCAGGTAACATTTTTGAAGCTTTTCTCTGTCTTGTGTCAATAAAAAAAATATCCAAAAGGCCACAAGAAAATTCGATTTACTGAGGATTTGAGGGGGAAGCCTATACTGTATTTAGGAGATTTTCAATGCATTTTTTCCAAGGGAATTCAGACAGGCTTAAAAAACAATCGACACACGTAGGTTTGAGTTATCGAGGTTCAACCGTAATTCTTGGATTTCCAACAGAAAGCGCGAAAAAATGCCTGGTCTTAGAGCCTGCTCAGTCTTCCTGCCGATTTCCTTCAGGATCACGCAAGACTCGACAAATCATAACAGCAAAAAACACACCGTACGCAAAGCCCATGAATCATTTTCCACACAAAATGCAGATATTCCTAAAATGCCCAAAATAAATTGCAACAATTAACAAACGCGCTGCACGCACAGCCCATAAACGATTTTATCACGAAAAGCAGATCTTTCGAAAAGCCCCTCGTTCAAGACACGAATTCCAAAACTTACTGTAGGTACAACCATAGAGCTCCAGACGCATCGATATGCGATCTTGCCACCGGGTCGGGTTGATTCTTATCCATTGGGCAACAATGGGAGGGTCGAAGATGTTGACGTACAATGAATTCGAGTCCGTATTTCCCTTGAATGTCTGAACACGTGGAAAAAAAAGAGAAATCACGTCAAATATCCAACGCCATGGTCCAGCAAATATCACTCAAAATTCGTTTCAAAAAATATGAAAAATAATATGGAAAAAAGGTAAGTAGAAGCCCGTGAGTCATGCAGGACAGAACATTGAAGGGAACAAGTCAAGCACATTTGCATGCACAAAACGCGGGACAAGGGATTTAGTAACTAGGATAACTGGAGAATTAAAAATACGTTCCCATCTCATTTTCGACGGTCAACGAACTCATTTTGAAAAAAGCCTGAGGCGATGAAGCGAAAGAATAAGAAGGGGCTTCTCGAAAGTCCTGCTGAACTTCGAATTTTCAAGCAGGTAAACCTAATGAACATTTTTCATATACAGTAAATTTGTATATATTTTGATTCGTAAAAACGGATATCTTACTACAGTACTAATACTGAAGAATTTTAGATGGAGTTTCGCGGCGATGTAAAATAATTTGTCGTACAGTACTGTACTCATAACTTCAACTATGCGGATCTAAAGAAATACAATGAAATGCTTCTGCTCCAATTATCGGTGATTTCTTCTACTTTGAGCTGAATTTTTCCATAAGGTTCTAATCTTCTCAACTGTCTTCAGCAACAGCAACTCCAAAATTGAGCACATCTCTAACAGAATACAGAAATGCTGTTTTGGCGCCCTTCATTTAAAAAATATGTTTTTATCCAAATTTTTTTTCGAACCATAAATCACATGTAAGACGTGCGGCTTGACTGAAAACCTTTTTTTTTAAAACAAATTCGAGGAAGTCGCAGGAAAATCAACAGATTTTTTCTTTCAACTATCTTTTCGGCGCAAAAAAAATCGGAATTCTTTTGATTTGGGGGGGGGGGGGGGGGGGGGAAAATTTTTTTTT